TTTGATCATTCCTAAACAAACATCTGATCTTAACGTATACCGTTCGTTACATTATTATTTTTTTTTATTATTAATTATTCTGCGATCAAAATACTTCTCTAGTCCTCCAAAAAAAACAATGGTAACAAACAATTTGCTGTTACGCTTCAATGATTAGCCAAACACTTCGATGTTAATGAAATACATAATTTGGAATTGAGTAGTTATAACCTGATGTTTTAATTGTTTTTTAAAAGTATGGACTCGATGCCCATCATAGTATAGACTCTAAAAATTTTGTACAATGATGATTTTTAGGTTATATTGTAGTTTCGTAAATATAGATTCAATAACGAAAAACATTTTTTCCGTAGCGCGACGGGTAAAGTACTAAAAACGAAATATCAAAGGTTACTATTAAATTGATATTTGTTCCCTTCTCTTTTTTAAGTTTATCTATCTATAAAATGGTCGGTTCGTATAGAAATCAATTCACTTGTAGTCATTTTAATGAAATAACTACAAGTGAATCGATTATATTTTGATAAATCGATCGATTGTTACAAAATGGCAACACCGATACGACAAGTGTCAAAAAGTACAAATGTATTGGAAGTGAATTAATTACCAAAATTTTAAAGGGATATTTGTTCGTCGAAGTTTTTTTTGGCTTCTGCGTCAGTTTATATGTCCGCTATAAACCTCTTAAACCACGCAACGGATTGTGATGTGGCTTTAATATTTTTTTAGTTAAAGTTTTTTTATAGTATACGAGCGGACGGCTTACCTTATGGTGAATTATCACCGTGGTCTATAGACATCTTAAATATCAGAAGCCTAAAATTATATTTCTAAGACTAGGGGCCGCCAATTTTCAAAGGTTTTCAAATACCTCGCGCTCATTTCATTTAATATATTTATTTCCAATGCTAAAAGAGCGCGAGGCATGAAAACCGCCGGTAGTCAGAAATAACAAAATGAAATCTTGAGCTAGCCAAAAGCAATCCCGATAGGCGGTAGGCCCCCAGAAGTGCTACTTTTTTTAAGGATTTTCGGGTCGAATAGTCTAGAAACGGAGAGACTGTATTTCACAGTTGTACGGTTTCACGGTTGTAGATTGTGGATGTGGAACCACACATCAAGATGACGAGGATGAAATTTTTGTCGTGATTTTTGTTGATGTATATTGTCACAAAAGCTCTCGAAACGTAACCGTGAAAGTGCCAGAGATCGAATTTGCCAGATCACCGCGGGTCGAGATAGAGGTCGAGTAATGCGGCTCATTCTTAAATGAGCCTTATGCAGTGCGGCGTTAGGGTGAAAGTGCAACGACATCTGCACTTGTTTACAAGTTATGCGTGTTACCTGCGTAGGTATAGGTAGGTATTTCGTACTCGCGGGTGCTAGGTAATTCTCAATTTAACAGGTACTTTCTAGAATGCGTCGATCGGCGTATATAAGCGCGATTGGCGCCACGCAGAGACAGTTGAGTTTCAACAGCGATTTCGGAGCGAATCCAAAGGCGATCTAAGTGCAACAAAAGTATTCAAGTGAGATTGTTTAGAGACTTGTATAGCGAAAAACAGTGTTTAGTGAGTGTTTTGTAATTAACATTGTGTGTTAATTGTGTGAACTGTGTGGTGAATAAAGAACTGTCAAGCGTGAACTGGCATATAATTTCGAACCCCATCCCGACACGTAACATCTGGTGACAGAAGTGACATGCCAGTCACACCGCGCGACGGAAGCGAAGGCGTACGCACTAGGCGGCAGGCCGTAATGGACCATTCGCGGGAGTCTGGAATAGCGGCGCCTGATGAAGATTCAAGCATACCACAGACTGCTCACCACAGTGGTGTTGCCGCTACAACTATTGCGCCTGCGCTCGACTTATTGACATTGTTGGCGGCTATCAAAGACATCAAGGAGAGTCAACAACAAGCTATTGAGGACGTCAAGGAGAGTCAACGCCAAGCTATGGAAAGTCAACGCCAAGCTATGGAAAGTCAACGCCAAGCTATGGAAAGTCAACGCCAAGCTATGGAAAGTCAACAACAAGCGGTCAAAGATGTCAAGGAGGACGTGAAGGCTGCTATTGACTCGAAATTTGAGGCATTCAAAACAACTTTGTGCGGCATCCGAGACGAAATAGAATGCGTAAAGAGTCGTACCAGCAAACACCAGGAGACCCTAGACAAACACCAGGAGAGCATAGGCGAATGCAAGGAGACTCTACAGGTCCATGAGAAAATGTTAAGAGACCTTCAAAAAACCAAGGTCATCAGCACCGCCATAGCAACCACGGGTACCACGGCACCTAAATTTAAAGTACCGGCGTTTGATGGTACAACTTCTTAGACGGCATTCAGACACCAATTTGAAGTCGTAGCCAAAGGGAACGGCTGGGAGGACGAACATGCCCTGACCGCACTCACTCTTACGCTCAGGGGGGATGCTCTTCTGGTATTGGAAAATGTACCAGCCGATCAACGAAGTTTGGAAACTCTCCTCAAAGCTCTGGAGGCTCGTTACTAAAAGAACGGTCACAGAAACCAGGAGGGCGATTGCAGCAGTGGGCCACGGAGAGTGAGCGATTGGTGCGTCGCGCTTATGCGTCCAGTAAGACATCCATAGAAGACATTGTAGTTCAAGCTTTTGTGGATGGTATAAGAGAACACGAAGTAAGAGCGGCCGTTCGATTGGGACATCACACGACCCTGGAAGCTGCTTTAGCGCACGCCCTGGAGGTAGAAGCAGTACGCAATGACTACAAGACACACAGAGTGCGAGAAGTTGTTGCAGCAGTCAAGCCTCGAGGTGGACCAATGGCTATGGATGTGGAGAACGAGGGCACATCAGGATTAACTGTCCGGTCCAGCGGAGAAACCGGACAACGTCAACCGCTACTCTGGTTGATTGTAGCGTGGACTCGGTTGCAGAGAGGGCACGAGCTGGACGTCGTTTAGCTCCCACAGTACGAGTATCACAGGCATGTGATGGAAATAGTCTCGTAACCGCAGGAGAAATAAACGGCAAGCCTGCACAACTTACAATTGACACTGGGGCATCGAAAACTATCGTGCGGCCGGAACTTCTCAAGCGTACAATTATGTGGGAAGGTACAAAATCAGCATGTCAATTGCAAACAGCTACAGGCCAGCCAGTGACCGTCCTGGGAGTGACAGATATCTTATTGAAACTAGGAGATAAAATCTACAGACAAAGCGTCTTGGTCGCTAACATAACGGACGACTGTATACTCGGATTGGACTTCTTACGATCACAGCAGTGTGTGGTGGATATCGCTCGAGGAGTATTGAATTTTCCGGATCAAGAAATATTTCTAATAGGGGGGCAGTGTCACAAACGCTCTCGAAACGTAACCGCGAAAGTGCCAGAGATCGAATTTGCCAGATCACCGCGGGTCGCGATAGAGGTCGAGTAATGCGGCTCATTCTTAAATGAGCCTTATGCAGTGCGGCGTAAGGGTGAAACTGCAAAGACATCTGCACTTGTTTACAAGTTATGCGTGTTACCTGCGTAGGTATAGGTAGGTATTTCGTACTCGCGGGTGCTAGGTAATTCTCAATTTAACAGGTACTTTCTAGAATGCGTCGATCGGCATATATAAGCGCGATTGGCGCCGCGCAGAGACAGTTGAGTTTCAACAGCGATTTCGGAGCGAATCCAAAGGCGATCTAAGTGCAACAAAAGTGTTCAAGTGAGATTGTTGAGAGACTTGTTTAGTGAAATACAGTGTTTAGTGAGTGTTTTGTAATTAACATTGTGTGTTAATTGTGTGGTGAATAAAGAACTGTCAAGCGTGAACTGGCATATAAATTCGAACCCCATCCCGACACGTAACAATATAAAACAAGCCCAAAAACAAAAAAGCTGTAGTACATTACCTACCGAAGTCAGAAACAAATTGAAGTAAAGACAGGTCATGTTTTTCTAAAATACTTTGTTCGTTTTAGGAGCACGTTTTGCGACACGGCGATTATGTCAATGTGTCAAGTACTTTAGAAGCCAAAACCTTGGTCAAAGACTCCATGACCTAAGGCATTTCGTTAACAACTGATATAATTTCCCGTGAATCATATATAATTTATAATAATTTAGTTGACAGATTTTCAAGTACTTCAATTTATTATTACAACAACAATTATGTTATTCCTACGATGTGAATATGTACCAACAGTTTCTTAAACACAGTTTAAACTAAGGTTGTCTTATTTTTTTATAAAAGCATCTGCTTTTCTCTTTCTCTTGTCTCGTCTCTACCTAGAAAGGGCATTATTTTAAACATTTGAAACAATGGTTACAAACTGTTGTGGTAAGACCGATATATTCTATGATTGCAAAAAAAAGGTCCTACCAACCAACTCTATCACCCAAAGGAATATTCAACTAACAACATTTTAACTTCATTAGAGTATTTGCATAATACATATTAATATATAATAAAGTTCACAGAGCAGCCAGACCTTACTTATTTTCTGATGGACAATAAGAACAATCGAGTAATACCTTGGTAATACCTATTACTGTATACAATGAACGTATACATATTCGCAAACTTGTGCCTGTTGCAGAAAATAAGTCGAGCGGCCCTAGGATCTTACTCTATAATGTAATTACTTAAATACATTTCAGGATGCTAAAAGATACGTAATTTTAGGTTTTTTTACTGACACAGATGACCAAACAAACGGTTTACACGAATCTTAATAATATTCTATTTTTGCTTGACTGCTGCCCACGCATTAAGTATGTGACGCGATTTACTGATGATGACGTGCGCTATCATTAAAAGACATTTGTATTCTACAAGTATTGCGACACCATCCGATAGAAGTAGGGTCTTCTTAGCAAAATAGTGACAAAGGATGGCCTTCACATTCCTTCGATCACATATGTACCTACGTTAGCATATAACGTGCCCTTATTACTAAACGTTCCACAATTCCACATAAATAATAAGTTTCTGAGTACTTATTCCTCCTTAATGTTTGTTTCAGGAATGACGTATAAATCATGCAATGGATACTTCTCTCCCTCTACATTGCCATGGCCAACGCCATGGAAACCACCAACTTGTTTGATTTCTGGACCGATTTATTCCGTCCTCTTCCACGAAATCCAAGAGAAGGGTTCATGTCAGACTACACACCCATTGACCAGGAGGAATTTGATTTTATTATAGTCGGTGCAGGGTCAGCCGGTTGTGTTTTAGCTAATAGACTAACCGAAATCCCTGAATGGAAAATATTGCTCATAGAGGCCGGCGGAAATGAAAATTTCTTTTCCGACATTCCTATTTTTGCCGCATTTTTATCTACGACTCCAATGAATTGGATGTATAACTCTGAACCAGAACAAAAAGCTTGTAGAGACCTCAGAGGCAACGTCTGTTTCTTGCCACGCGGCAAAGTTTTAGGTGGAAGTAGTGTTTTAAATTTTTTAATATACCAAAGGGGTCATCCAGATGACTACGATGACTGGGCCAAGATGGGAAACCATGGCTGGAGTTACTCCGAAGTACTGCCATATTTTAAAAAGTCTGAAAATATTAAGATAAGTAGCTTAAGGAATTCGACTTATCACGGTAGAGGCGGATACTTAGATATTGAGTATGCCCCGTACAAATCTCCATTAGAGCGTCTTTTTAAGAGAGCTGGGGAAGAACTAGGTTATGAATGGCGAGACCCAAACGGAGAGCAAGTGATTGGTTTCTCCAAGCCGCAGGCTACCATGAGAAACGGCAGAAGATGTAGCACCTCCAAAGCATTCCTAGAACCTATTCGTTTCAGACGAAATTTGAAAGTTTCTAAACATTCTATGGTCAATAAGATATTAATTGATCCACGGACCAAAACTTCCTATGGAGTGGAACTGACGAAACAAATGAAAAGGTAAAGTAAAAAAAATATTTAAGATGCAGTAAATAAAATTTTACTATCCAAAATGAAATCTATGTATAGTTGTTTCATGTAACGTTTATAAGGTTCCGTACCCAAAGTGTGAAAACCGGACCCTATTACTAAGACTCCACGGTCTGTCTGTTACCAGGCTATATCTCATAACTAGATATTTGTAACTTTCACATTTGATGTATTTATGTTGCCTCTAAAACAACAAATAATAAAAACAGAATAAAATAAAAGGTTGGAGAAAAAGTCTTTTCGCATTATAGTATCTATGAACTTGTAATAAAATCTCTTTGGCAAACACTTGTCGCGGTTTTTTTATCAGAAGTCCTAGAATTTCTATAGCAATGGGATCATGTCCCTACCTACAAGATGGCAAAAAGTTATCGAACAAAATGGCAACTTTAGTTAAATATAAATAAACTTTGTTATAAAATGTTTTCAATTTTAGTATAAAATGCGAAGAAACTTTTTCCCCAACCTAATAAATATTTAAGGGGGACTTCCATATAACAAACGTGATTTTTTTCCGTTTTTTACTCGATATTATATAGGTATCATAATATAATGTCTTAACTATGAAAGACATTATATTATCGAGTCGGGCTCGTATATAAAGGGTTCAGTAACGTTACTGTTGTATAATAATGTTACGGAACCCTTGGCTGGATTTTAATTATTGGTGTATATCTTCAAGGATAAGAGTGCGAGCTCTCAGGGAAGTGATTTTGGCGGCTGGGTCGATTGGATCTGCCCAATTGTTGATGGTCTCTGGGGTTGGCCCGGAAGAACACTTACGCGAAATGGAAATCGAACCTGTTGTAAACCTCCCCGTTGGTTACAATCTACAAGACCACGTGACCTTTTCTGGGAATGCCTTCATAGTCAACGATTCTAGTCTAACCGTAAACGATGTAAGTATGGTTGTCACCATTTATTAATTAACCTAATTAAATTCTATACATCAATCGAATGAAATTCCAAGGGAACTAACAAAAATTCTCGGGTTGAACTACGGTGAAAATCAAAATAAAAATAAAATGTATATGGGTAGATATATTTTTATTTCTTAAGAATTTAACTGCGTCGACTGCGCAAGTCGACAAGTGGTGTCTACGGCCGTTTTTTTAACAGACACCGAGGCGTTGCGATACTTTTTTTCTGACTACCCCTCGATAATATAGACAAATATCCGGTAAATAAACTGTTAGCAGTCGATCTAAACGTGTATTATGGGCTTTCGAGTCTATATCAATACATAGTAATCTTAATATACCGATCAGACTACTTTTTTTGCGACAAATGTAATGCAATATAATATGTTTTCTTTAGCATATTGAATTGTACACATAATCTAACTCGATATTTTGATGAAATAACTACAAGTGCATCGATTATATTTTGATAAATCGATACGATTATTACAAAATGGCAACCCTGAGAAGACAAGTGTGTCAAAAATACAAATGAAATGGAAATGAATGAATTACTAATTTATTATAGAAATTTTTGTTCGGCGAAGTTAAAGCAAATTATTTAACAAGGTTTTGTGAAAATTAAAAATTTGATTTTTGATATAAATTAGGTGAATGTACAAGGCCGACCAAGGACGATACTACCAATGGGCATTCTCCTTTTGTATGGAAACTTGAACAGCAGCGCCACAAAGAACGTAACGGGAACTAAAAATCAGTACACATTTGACAATGACATTTCGCACTAGCAAACGATACGAATTCGATAATGGTTCGTGCAAGGGGTACTGTACCCCTAGCACGAACCATTATCGAATTCGTACCGTTACCGCTGCTGTTCAAGTTTAAGCCGTTGGTCCCGTAATAGTCTTTTGGCATACAAATATTTATTTAACTTTTCCTTGTTTATTTATCTATTATTAGTGGGTCACCCACGTCTCCTCGCCCCTTCACCTAGGAGAAGAGGGGGAAAACGCTGGCGATTTCGACCATGTTCGCCTTAATTTTAGTTTTTTGAGAATCCCTCAGGAACCTAACATTTTTTGCGGGATAAACAGTATTTTATGTCTCAATCCAGGTAATAAAGTATATATGTATTAGATTTTATCCAAATCCGATCAGTCGTTTTTGCGAGATTGAGTAACAAACATATAAATAATTACATACAATTTATAATATTAGTAGGATATCAGGTGGTGGCGTTTCGTTTAGGTATGCAGAAATAAATTTTGGGACAGGTAAATATGCCTTAATAAAATTCTGTCATCTTAAAAAGTATGCCATTGTAAATTCGGAGAAATAAACATTTGGCCGAATAAAGGACGAATATATTTTTAATAATATGCCTATTTGCAAAGGCATTCATATTCGTTCAAAGAAGATTATGCCAAGTGTGTTATGCCAAATGTGTTATGCCAAGTGACTGCCTGATAGAGGAAACCTGTACTAAGTATGAGATAACATTTATGATGACAACATTCGTTTGTCACAAATAGATCTACCTACTGTTACGTGTATATAGAATCTATATTACGATACGGAATTATATTACAGGGCAATGGTACAAATTATAAACGCATTCATACCAACTGGGAATAATAAAAGAAATAAGTGTTTAGGTAGCTAGCTTAATTGACTGTGAAGTGTGAAAAGCCTTTTATTACATTAAAGAACTCCTTGAAAGTTACTTTTGATAGCTAAATTAATTTTGTGAGGAATTTGTACTTAACAATTTGCATGCTACAAAATTTAGAAAGTTTGACTTGAAACAAAGATATAACTACTTACCATGTATTATGGAAATAAAAATTATTTGTTTTTTGGTTAAAAATATTTTTTATTTTATCCATTTTAGTTTAAAGCCTACACATACACAATGACTAGTCAGAACAGAACCGTTATGAAAACACAATAATATTCCATTACAAAAATATACTTTATGCAAATTGACTTATTGAAAGCCAGGATTACCAGGTTTCCTGGTAAATTTCTCCTATTTCGTTTCTACATGAATATACTGTTTTTCAAAGAAAAATTCTTTTTTAAATTGCATGTTGAGTTGCGTTTTCCGCCATAAAGCATGTAGGTAAACTTAATTATAATGCAATTAATATGTTACTGTATAATAATGGTTCGTGCTAGGGGTACAGTACCCCTCGCGCGGGCCTACCCGCGCACGTCTGCGGGGTCCCCGCGATACCCCGGGAGACCCCTGCCGTGGAGCCCCGGCTTGGCCGGGAGGCTGCTAGGTGCGGAGACGCGGAGAATCCCTAAACGGGGATCCCGCGGCTTCGCGCTAAGCAGCTTAGAGCGTATTCGCAGGACTTTTTTAGCGGATATTATACCGTAAAGCGCCCGTAAGAGTTGCGGGGTCTTCGGTGGGCAGCCACTGGGGGGTTCGTAAGACTTGCGGGAGCCAGGTGTGAGGTCCGTTCGGCGGTGTGCCTCTTAAAGGCGCCGTCGTCTGTAAATAGATATTTTACCTGCGTATTAAGGGGTACAGTACCCCTAGCACGAACCATTATCGAATTCGTACCATTTCCGCTGCTGTTCAAGTTTCCATACAAATTTTAACATTGACATTTCGGTTTGCAAACTATTCGAATTCGTTAATGGTTCGTGCTAGGGGTACTTATCTGATTTACGTGATTCTTTTTTGTCCGATGAGAAATAGTTGCCGTTTGATCTCATAACAAAATAATCCAGTTTAGGACGATGTAATTTTCACAGATCTTTATTTAAATAAAGAGCCGTGAAAATTACATCTGATCATCGCAGTTTCTGTGATGATTGATGATACCTAATTTTAAAAGTTACTCTTGTGCATTAACTTTAAAAACAGTCAACTATCTGTTCATCTACATGCTTTATATACCTGAATCTAATACATAATTTCGGTACTTGACTTGATTTCCCTAGTTTACTATATAACTTATTTGTTTTTTATTATTTTAATACCTATCTATCTATTGGCAAACATAACCTCAAAATCGTTCAGTGTATATGGTTTATAGAAGTTCTCAGGGGTGTCCGTCAATAATATTCGATTCTATAGTAATTTATATATAATTTCGAATCTAGGAAACAATTTTTTATGATTATTGGTCTTTAGGCCAAACATGTATGGAAGCTGAGCAATCTCCTTTAGTACATATATAGTTTATTACCTGGATTGAGACATGAAATACTTTTTATCCCGCAAAAAATGTTAGGTTCCTGAGGGATTCTCAAAAAACTGAAATTAAGGCGAACATGGTCGAAATCGCCAGCGTTTTCCCCCTCTTCTCCTAGGAGAAGGGGCGAGGAGACGTGGGTGGCCCACTAATAATAGATAATTAAACAAGGAAAAGTTAAATATTTGTATGCCAAAAGACTATTACGAGACCAACGGCTTAACGTGCCTACTGAAGCACCTCCGTGCTTCAGTAAGCTCGAGATAGTGAATCACCCATCCAATTACCGACCACTGCGAAAGTTGCTTAACTTTAATGATCGCAGCAGAATGACGCGTTACCACTTGAGCTATCGAGTTCCTCTCCATGCCATGATTTTTAATTATTAGTGCATTAACTGCATCATCATTATTACATAACTTTATTTAATATGCGTTTACCTTAAAAATTGTTTGCTTATTTTATTTAAAATTACTAAAGCTTAAAACTACTTAATGTCTTAAAACTTTAAAACCAGAAATAACTACTAAAGTAATATACAATTTACAAAATTAAAAATATATCACCCCAAGCGCCGCTGTCAGGAATGGTGCCCAATAGGCTAGCAGCATTTCCTCGTTGGGTAGCAAGGCTAATCCGTTGACTAAGGTAGCTTTTGATCACCGGTCACCGGTCTTGAGCATAGTTAGAAAGGGATGTCGCTATATATAGTACATAGCGATATCCCTTTCTAACTGTACTCAAGTAAAGATCAACACTTAGTTGTCATTCTGTAATACGGACCTTAGACAATTCCTGAATGAAGGAACTAGCGCTTGGACCCCATGGCCCCATAGTGTAAACAACAAATGGCACAAATACATAGTTCTCGTTGAGTTTATTTTATTTATATGCAACAAGTAACATTTAATTATTACCAAATATTTCCCAGTAGGAATTTTCGACCTCTCTTTTATAAAATTCGATTCACAAGTTCAAGCTCTCTGGATGTAGTTTTAATTTTATGTATATTGTTTTAAACTTTCATGGTCACTAACATTATAGATATTAACGGGAATGTTACCATGTACCTTGTTTTTTATGAGTCTCCGATATTTCGGCACTGTTGCAAGCGCCATGATCACGGAGTACGGTAAATTTTATGTATGTAAGTAGGTAGTTATTTACTGTTGAACGTTTGTCTTTTTAAATGTTTTAATACTGTGGTTTTAGGTATTGTTGATGCCTGAGAATCAGGATCCTGATTTGTATAGTGACGTCAGCTAGCCCTGAAATTCGTTTTTGTAGTCATTGTTGATTTTTTAATTAGCGAACCTATACAAACCACATCAAATAAGGTAATTTTATGGCGAGCAGGAACTTCTAGTTTATTAAAGCCCCGACTAATAAGGCGATAAAAAAACGAAACTTTGAAGTAGACATGAATAGATACTACAAACGAACATAGCATCGTCATTTGGGAATACAAACGAGCCTAGACTTTAGAGAACTTAGTTTGGGTTTATTTTTAGTTAAAAGGACCATTCATCAAGAATGTTTGCAAACATAAATCTATGCTAAAATGTTATGCCGCGAATTCATTAGGCAACATTTGCTGATACACTGCTTATGACGTTCATCACCTTGTTTATAATCAAGTTTACCGTAAACACTCTTTCTGAAACATGGCCGTCCACACTTATCAGTTGTTGCTAGGATGTTGCCTGAGTGTTGCTCTGTGCTGCTTATGTCGTTATCCATGAGAGTACTACCAAAAAAAATTAAAGGAAAAGATGGTGGGTTTAAAACTATCTTTTAAATAGAAGTTATGTATTTGATTACCTTCGTGGATTTGATGGGTCTTTTCATAATTTCATGAGAATGTCGATAACTGATTTTGAAATATTATTGAGATAAATTTTGTCCCCGGAGGAAAAAAGTCTTTGAGTCGTGAAAAAAAGTCCGCCGAGGACTAGTCGCGGACTCAACACACGCGATGTGCGAACATTTGCCCCCAAAAATTTAGAAAACCGGATGCTATGAAAGTAAATATTCTATATTACGTAGTGTTATATTTAACACAAAGGAAGATGTGCGTGCCCTCCGAGGGGTCACAGTGGAAAACGTAGGACACGTAAAAATAAAAAAGGACCTTGAAAAAAATTTTAGGCAAAGGGATTTTGTAGCTTTTGTAAGTCGAGTCGAGTCGACTCACCGAATGTGGGCCCTGAGACGAAACGCGTGAATGTTTATATTACTGAATCTGACCAATTTAAATAATGTTGATTAATGTTAATATTTAGAAGGTAATTTGTAGTACTACGTACAAAAATGAAGAAAGGTGACTACATATAAAGAAAATCTAATCAATTGGTGGGCCCTCAGTTTTTACGTGTTCAAAATTTACTCTACTGCTACAAAAATTGTAGTCAAAGTTTATTTGGCTACCTATCTTTAAAATTTAGCTGAAGTAGTTGAAATCCTATCCTGTGAGTACGAGGTTACCACTTTATTTTTTCATTTACTCATAAATACATATTAACGGTATATATTTATAAACAAAACCGAATGGAGTTGGCTTTTTGTATTAACTCCTTGCAACGTAGATCATCGGCATTATTAGTAAGATAGATTATTGCCCTTCGAGAGGCCACTGTGGAAAACGTAGGATACGTAAAAATAAAGATTTAGCAGGACTTTTAACAAATTGTAGTCAGAAGGACAGGTAGAAGGAGCTGTTGTAAGTCGAACGCCACAACTCACCGAATGTGAGTTCTTAGATGAAACGCCTCAATTACCATATTGTATTACTGTATCTGACCAAAATAATTAAATTTTGATGAAGGTAATATTTAGAAGGTAATTTGTAGGACTATGTGAAAATTTGAGCTCTGCTGAGTGACTACAAATAAACAAAATCCAATAAGTTACTGGTCAGTTCTTACGTGCTCAAAATTTAATCTACTGCTACAAATTTGTAGTTAACGCTAAGTTTCTTTGGATAGCTTAAATTGTTGCTTGCTTCTGATGATTGTTATAACATTTTTTATGTGATTTTCGTTGAGTGTGGTTATTTTTTTTATTTTTCTCAATCTATCTGTTTAATAATGACGATAATTATTTACGTTGTCATTTTGTAAATTATAGAATGCAGACTCCATTCGGTTCTGTTTATAAATACATTCCGTTAATATGTTATAATGAGTAAAAGAAAAAATAAAGCGGTACCAATTAACAAAATATTGTATATTTTTAATATACTTCTTTTAGATCTAACTAATTTTTATTCATAATTATATATTTTTGCATTTCGTAACTTTCTTCAATGCTTAATTTGACATTAAAGGAGATTGCTCAGCTTCCATACATGTTTGGCCTAAAGACCAATAATCATGAAAAATTGTTTCCTAGATTCGAAATTATATATAAATTACTGTAGAAACCAATATTATTGACGGACACCCCTGAGAACTTCTATAAACCATATACACTGAACATATTAAAATAATAAAAAACAAATAAAGTTATATAGTAAACTAGGGAAATCAAGCCAAGTACCGAAATTATGGATTAGATTCAGGTATATAGAGCTTGTAGATTAACAGATAGTTGCCTGTTTTTAAAGTTAATGCTTAAGAGTAACTTTTAAAATCAGGTGTCATTTCCGGTTATAATAAGATACTCTGTGACAGAAACTGTGTGATGATTGTGAATGAGCCACAGATTAGAGAGAAGTTTTAAACACTCGTTAACCAAAGAAAGCTAAGAGATTTAGCTTCTATAGCCGAATATTCAGTAGTTCATTATTTTTGTTATGTTTTTAAGATAACCATATTTTAGATTTTTAGTGTATCACACCTTATAATTTTATTTATTTAATAATTTATAGTCAGGGAACGTAGGCCCATAGATAGATACCTTAAAGTTGAATATATATACAGATTATAATGTGTTTATGGAGGTGTTTGGCGAAAAATGTATGGCAATAGACTGTATGATGTCGCCTACCATCTATAATAATTGTCTGAGCACATTTGCATCTAGTGAAAATGATTATATAATGGTGGATATTAATACCACAATGTATTAAAAAAATGATTTATTTTATCGATCTTTACAAAATAGATTTGTTTTTATGTTATATATACAACTTCGATCTGTCTTTGGCTGAATGTTACTACACCCATAGCCATTAAAAATGATTCGTATGTTTTCCAAATCGGTAATATTAAAAGTCCTTTTTAAAGTAAATATATTATACGAAGGTGTCCGTTAAAATCTAATGACTGTAAATTAAATTATAAATTACGCCAAGAATTACCGTGTATATCAATATTTTTTGTGCATTTAGGCCAATTTGAGCAATCTCCTTTAAGTATTATCATTGCCATTATTTATGTGTACTTTATTAACAATTATTAAGAATAAAAAATAAAAATAATAAAATAAAAATAAAATACTTACAATTAAAATAAAACTCAAGCGATCCTATAACACACGCTTTCCTTTCGAGTGTCTTAATAAATCTTTATGTGATTTCCACACATGTAATCATAACTGAGAATTAAATAAAGTAGGATGTGTCTTGTATTGTTTTGTTGTTTTTGTTTAAATAACACAAATATTGTTTAAAGGAATAATATTTTAATACAGTCTTAAACTACAAATCTTCTAAAAAATACATCAACTATTTTCATTTTATAATGAGTTTGGCTGCATATTTTTCATTAATTCGTTGGTGAGCGTTTCGATCGAGGCGGGCCGCTCAGCCGCCCGAAATCGTACCTGTGCAATAGAGGTCTAATAAGTAATTGAGCAGTGTTAAGATAGTACAAATTCCCGAATTTTCTGACGAGATGGTGGATCAATTGGATTTCTATAAAAACTTTGATACAACCCTTGTCCAGACAGACAAACGAACATACCAAAAAAAGAATTAGGTAGGTACCCAATTCGGTACAGACACAGCAGCGTTATCAGAACGTCAGGTTTGTAAACATTTTGCATTACTTCTGGCTCTGGGACATTACCTTCATGTTACCTAACTCAATACAAGTCAATAAGTTCCTCCTAGACAAGCGTACTCCATCTCAAAAGGTCAACACGCGACTTTTAAAAGAAATGCTTTTCACTGTCGAAACCTGGCTTTACAGATGTTAGCGGCATCGCCGTTATCCGCAATCGCATACCTAGCGGGCCGCGGACCCCTGACGCTGCCAGGAGGGGCGGCCGGGCTGGCCTTCACACGCTCCCCATACGCCATGGACGACCACTCGCCTACCCGACCCGACATCGAACTCGTCATGGGTGGCGGTTCGCTCGCTGGAGACTTGCTAGGCATACTGAGGAGTTTATTGGGTAAGGAAAACCCGTAAAACGTTACAATAAGGTCCTAGGCTTATATCCCGGCAAACTTCTTCAGACAATTTTACTTACAAAAACGTCTACTGCACACGTTTATATGTCAGTGGCTTTTCTCAAGAAGTTTGCCTCGACCTATAATTAAGTGGGAGATAATTGCCATATCAATCCATAGGAATAATTCTAAGTGTAGCTTCGAGGCTAGAACCCCATGATGAAGGAATTTTTCACACCAACAAGTTTGTGGCCGGTGTTTATGGTTTTACTAAGAAATCCTGAATACAAAATATTTGAAATAAAATTGCAATTAAAAAAACAAGAAAAATATCAACTCAATTAAACTGTCGAATATTATTGTTATTGTCATTTTCATCAACTTATTAATGTCCACACTGATGGGTCACAGGCGTTCCCTTTAAATGAAAAAGAACATTAGGCTTGGGTCATACCCATGACTGGAGCTGCAGCCGGGGCTAACTGCTTAACGTACCTTCCGAAGCACAGAGGAGCTAGAGATTATAATTTTTTGCCATCCATCCAATACCCAGCCATTGCAAAAGTTGCATCGCAAGCCGAACGTGTTAACCACCTCCGCCATCCAGCTCCTCATGTCGATATCCATGCGTTATGGTAAATATTTATTAATAATATCTTTTGTCAGGTGTGACGGACCAGTGGTACTACCGTATGTATAGTTCGCTTCCAATGAGAGTGCGACAAAATACATTCTCCATCAACCCGGTGCTGATAAGACCACGCAGCATTGGCCGGCTGAAGCTTCGTTCCGGAAACTTCTCCGACCATCCGTCCATTAAAATGAACTATTTCGATGACCCCAAAGATTTAAAAGCTTTAGTGAATGGAGTACGACTTGTAAGTTGTCACATAATAGTTTTTTGATATTCGTTCGCATTTATCCATCAATATTTATTCAAACCACGTACCTATTTATGTAGAGGTCACCTGCCGAGAGAAAAGACGAACTCTACGACGCGACAGTTGTATCAAAAAACTGGCCAAACGCAAGTCTGGCCTCGCTCTATTATAGTTTCGTATAATGAGCTAATTCTGTTATTAAAGAAAACTATATAATAGAATCGCAACAAACCGCGAAAGAAAACATAATAATTTGTTTGTTTTCATCACCACTTACAAATTCAATCATATAAGTACCAAAATTTCACACTAACTAGTTTCAATATCAAATAAACCCCATAAGGCCGTATACAGAAAGAAAGCTGGAAGCCGACCAGCGCTTCTCAGCGCTGGTCCTTACTGGTAACATAGTTGCATAAAGGAAGCAGATGGAAGCGTATTGTTTTCATTAATTTCAAAGGGCGGTGCCAGCGCTGACCAGTGCGTGACGAAGATTATCGGCACTTGACGGCGACGTTCGGCGCTTATCGGCGCTGGTCCATAGAAAAAAGCCTGTGCCGGTTACCGGTAAGGACCGATGACGCGCTGACAAGCGCTGGTCGGTTTCCAGCTTTCTTACTGTATACGGCCTAACAAACTGATATCGATGACGGCCCCTTCTTTATTATTGGATAAAATATAATAAAAAAATAATTTATGTTCTATTCAACGAGCTCCAGACTAGACAAAAACCCAAATGATGTGTCACATCTAAAGTAAAAAAGAAAAAACAACAACTTTTCATTACTTTAACTGAATTTAAAACTATTCGGTTTTGGGTAAATCGTAAGCATTCTAAACGATATTAATATCGTTGAAGCATTCTACATAAAATACCAAAAACGTTAGTTCTGTATCTCCATCCGTTTACTATCTAGATACCCGTGACATACAGATAGACAGACAACAGAGTGATGGCAATAGGGTTCCGTTTTTATTCTCTGGGCACGGAACATACTTACTACATACTTTCCTTCACGCGAAATGGTTACTATAACACTCATGTTATAGTAAAATTGCTCTTTAAAAAGTACAACTTCCTATTATTTGTTTTTACTTCTAAACACATTTAAACGGAAATATTTTTTCTTTATTTTACAGATCCAACAAGTGATAGGAACGTCAGCATTTCAGCAATACGAAACTCGATTGCACGACGTCCCTTTCCCAGGATGCGAAAACGTGCTTTTCGATTCTGATCAATATTGGGAATGTGCCATTATGCAAACCGCTATCACCTTAGACCACCAGGTAACTGCCTTTAAGGGCTGGAAAAAAATATGACGCTACCGGAAGTGGTAACGAGGATATATTCAGCTCATTTCACCCCACGAGGTCCCCAGAATGCATGTTGGGAACGCAGGTGTGTTCGTGGCTCCTCCTTGTAAGCCACGGAACCGCCATTGGCAAGCTTACTACCTACTAGCCTACCTGCGATTTCTTATGTTTATTACATAATATAATTAAGTACTAGTGACCCAAATCTCGAAAATTTCAGTTGTTATGAATATTCTAGACAGGGATACGAAAGAAAAATCTGTCCTAGTGCGAGTTGGACTCGCGCACCGAGGGTTCCGTACAAACCTGTAGGTATATAATGAATATTAAAAAAATGGTTGCCTGTAAAGTCGGTTTTACGGGCGAAGATTTTACGTGACAACGTCTTTTTCTCGGTAGAATATTTATTGATATGAATATAATTAAATTGCACAATAGGAACAAGGAATTGAATGAAAATAAGAATTGCACAAATTTTAACTATAGAAATATATTTTGTTTACTAAAACATTGTACATGTAAACTTAAACTTAACACGAGAGACTCATCGTAACGTTACCGAGCGTTACACTTTTTCATAAGTGACTCCCAGCCGCAACCTAATTTAAGACGTTGTCACGTCAAAAAATATATGAAACTAAAAAATTATGATGTTCGCAATTTTTCCTTTATCTGTGCTATAAGACGTTGCTTCGTACTTACCAAATTTGAGGATTCTGAGTTCACGAGAAGTACCCTGAAGGTATTGATTCCCTTGCGAGTTTTAAAAATTTGCCGAAATTGTTAGCATAAATGGCTGTATCTTTTGATTAAGTTGGCTTGGAAGTTTGATTTTTTTCATAGCTTCAAGGGACTGTAGACCTGGGTATTTGATATAAATTTCAGCTTGATACCTCCACGCGTTCCTGAGAAAACGGACTGGGTCTTGACAGACGGAGGGACGTCTGTCAAGACCCAGTCCGTTTTTCTCAGTTTTTTTCCTTTCAAGGTACGGAACCCTAAAAATGGGTGGTCGGCGATTAGTCGGCTACTATTAGCAAAAACAACTCGCAAATGGTTTTAAACTCTATCCCATCATCGCATCGCTTGTCCACCGTCAAAGAATTCGATGAGAATAGTACACACAAGGTTCTTGGTTTGTGTTGGTCACCTTTAGACCGGGAGATGATGACACAAAATACTTGGTCATTTGTACCAGTATGGCGGTTCTTCAGGGGTCTAATTACGTAAAGGCAAAAAGGAAAATGATGGTCATAGATAGATAGCGCTCGCACCGGCGGCCCAATCGCGTGGGCGTTAATCGAACGCGTCGGATAAATAACGAGTGTCGAACGATTTGTTCCACAAAAATGCGTATATTTTCAGATAGTCGAAAAAAAGAAGTAGGCGGTAGCGTAATACCATACTTCTCGGGTGTGACTTACAGCCCGCCATACCGACGCGAATACATTAACTTAAATAAAACAATTCAATCATTTGTACCAGGCTAATTTTTGCACAGCTGATCATCGTCGAGTAGCCATTCACGAAAATCACCTTGCCATTCTTTTCCGACAGTTCCCAATGGCCGCCATACCGCTGCAAAGGAGTAATTTTTTTTTCGCCAAACGATTTGTACCAGTATTGCATTTGAATTTTTGGAAAGTATTTGGCAAAATGTGACCGTTATTATTTTTCCCATACTTCTAGTAGGGGGAAAAAGTGCTGCCATACTTGAAATACTTATTTATTTGACACGTTTTAAAAATACGACTGCAAAATACGTAAAATCATTTTTTACATCATGACATCATTGTATTCTCGTCATTTGGATGCAATTGTACGTAAAAAAAATTATTACAGATTGTAAACATGGGGCGGATGACTGTCGGACTTGAGCTAAAAGGTGAAAAAGAAAAAAAAATTGACGATTTGTACCAGTATGGCATTTGGATTTTTGGAAATTATACGATACAATGTGACCATTATTATATTTGCCATACTTGTAGTAGAGGGAAAAAGTAGCGCCATACTGGTACAAATCGTTCGAATTACGAATAAAATCTTGGGACTTTGAAAAAATATTGTTCACATTCGCCACCTCCCACAGGTATGGCATTATCAGACTTCTATTTATGATCATACGGGGAACTGTTAAAAAAAGTTTCAGGGTGGTACAAATCGTTTGGCGAAAAAAAAATTACTCCTTTGCAGCGGTATGGCGGCCATTGGGAACTGTCGGAAAAGTATGGCAAGGTGATTTTCGTGAATGGCTACTCGACGATGATTAGCTGTGCAAAAATTAGCCTGGTACAAATGGTTGAATTGTTTTATTTAAATTAATGTATTCGCGTCGGTATGGCGGGCTGTAAGTCACACCCGAGAAGTATGGCATTACGCTACCGCCTACTTCTTTTTTTCGACTATCTGAAAATATAAGCATTTTTGTGAAACAAATCGTTCGACACTCGTTATTTATCCGACGCGTTCGATTAACGCCCACGCGATTGGGCCGCCGGTGCGAGCGCTATGACCATCATTTTCCTTTTTGCCTTTACGTAATTAGACCCCTGAAGAACCGCCATACTGGTACAAATGACCAAGTATTTTGTGTCATCATCTCCCGGTCTACTTCGTCCGATTACAATAATAGAAAAACCGGCCAAGCGCGAGTCGGACTCGCGCACCGAGGGTTCAAGGGTCAAGAAGTGACGAAATATTCCGAATCATTCTCATATCTACCTTCCTAAGATATTGGAGCGATAGGTATTGCCGACTAGTGGCCGGCAAATACTATGGTCATTCACTCGTTTATCATAAACATTAACTTTTAATTTTTTCTTTAAGTATTTTAATATCCATAATAATTAAAAAGCAGAACCATCATATCCCAGAAAGTTGACAGTTATAATCGTCTTTTTGCATACAATTATTTAACTTATCCTTGTTTATTTATCTATTATTTCATATGGCTGCCACCGCCGCCGTAAATATGCCTAGCGAAATTCTGCCATCTTAAAGTATGCCATTGCGAATTTGGATATAAACATTCGGCCAAACAATGACTATATTATAAAATAAGTACCTTACAAATATTCCCGACTACCTAATACTACTGAAACTACTGAATATATGACGACCTTTGGTCGAATGGCTTATACGCCGGGTTTCATGGTGTCGCTGACTCGAGAGGTCCCGGGTTCGTATCTCGGTAAGGGCAGATGTTTGTGTGATGAATACGAGCATTTGTACTCCGGTCATAGATGTTTAATATGTATTTCGATATAAATATACTTATATATATATGTACAATTTAAGTTTTCTATCCGTTACCCTAGTATCCCATAAAACAAGCCTTACAGTGCTTACTTTGGGGCTATGCTTAATTGATGTGAGTGTTGGAAATATTTATTTATTTTATTTATTTATTCCAAAGATTAAACCAAATGCGTTATGCCAAATGAATTTCGGGACAACAAGGTTCTGCCAGATAGAGGGAAACCAAGTAAAATATACTGACATAACTTTAAGAACCTAACATGATTATCATACACAGGTTGGCACGTGTAAAATGACACCAGCGGGAGACCCATCAGGCGTTGTGTCCCCTCGATTACTAATCCACGGCATGCGCGGGCTGAGAGTAGCCGATGCGTCCATTATTCCACGCATACCAGCAGCGCACACCAACGCGCCAGTCATTATGATAGCAGAAAAAGCAGCTGACCTCATAAAAGAAGACTGGGGGATGCATAGAGTTACAACAAATTTTATTGATGGCAGTTGAAATAAAATTATTAAAATTAATAATTCGACTTTTATTTACGGTAGGATATTTTGTATTCGTAATAATAATAAATAAAATAATAGAGGAGAATAAGGGATATAAAAGCTGGAAAACGAAAATTCTCCTGTATCTGTCCTAGTTTTAAGAACTTCCGGGAATCATGCAAGAGGGATTTTCAATATTAGAGGAAAGTTTAAAATTATATTTCTTACGATGCTTTTTTGAATCGCAAACTAGCTATTAAGAAACTGCTTACAGTTATCAACTACAGAAGGTGGATATCTAATATCTACTGCATTTGGATGACGAATTTTGATATATATATTTTTTTCAATCCAATGTAAATAATGGAACCACGAGTGTTACACCGCGCGCCTCTATGCAGATCGCTGACACGAAGTTCATAGACGTCATTTCCACGCGATCGACCTGATTTTCGCAACAACTACGGAATCGCTGAGGCTGCAACATGCGAGTGCCTCGTGCAAGCCGCTGCTGGCCTACGTGACTACGTGAAACCGACACTTCGTATCTAGCATCGATCAAGTCAATTCGTTTCCTTAAAATAATTATAATTTTATACTTTTCTTGTAACATTAAATAAGTTATAATAAATTTAGTTTTTTTTGAGTAATCCGGCTGTGGCGATTATAACTGGCGCAGTCGGTAGGATTCTCCGGGTCATCGCGTTAGCTTCGGGATCACAAAATCGGGTTCGCGCCGCGTTTTGATTGACTCTTAAGTTGTACCGGAGATCCGAATAACGTAACTACGCCGCCGCCGGTATTCCAGAAATCGAATCCGCTCAGAGAGAACGAGATGTTTATGTAAGTACACTCTGAATTTATATCTAGTGTTGCTTCCTTTAGCCCTAAGTCCTATTACTAATTTCCAAAATTTTCCACCCTAAGCACTCGAGGTCCCAGAAGGCTGTTTTATATAAGCGGTTCGGAAGGGACATCACAATAGATAATTATAGAGAGTTAGGACCATATTCAGATACGGAATCGGACGTGAGCTCGTTAGAAAAAATGCCACACGATCCGGATACTATTTTTAAGGCCCTCCGCCTCGTCCCGGAATTTGACGGAAACCCTCACATATTAACAAGATTTATTAGAATTTGCGATAAGTTAGTTGGTAGTTATGTGATTGAGGGCCCGGAAAATGAACTTGCCAATTTATCCTTAATAAGCGGTATCCTTAATAAAATCACAGGACCTGCCGCATTGACTATTAACTCAAACGGAATCCCTGAAAACTGGCATGGGATACGTAACGTACTTATAAATAACTTTTCCGATCAGAGAGATGAGACCACCTTATACAACGACCTTTCATTGCAAAGTCAAGGAAATAGCTCCCCTCAGGAGTTTTATGATAAGTGCCAGACTTTATTCAGCACTATAATGACATACGTCACGTTACACGAGCACATTCAAACCACAGTAGAGGCAAAACGCGACTTATACAAAAAATTAACCATGCAAACGTTTGTGCGAGGTCTTAAGGAACCGCTTGGGTCCCGTATACATTGTATGAGGCCGGAAACGATAGAAAAGGCTCTAGAGTTTGTTCATGAAGAACTTAACGTAATGTACTTACAACAAAGAAACGGTGGTTTGCCTAAACCAATGCAACCTATAGGTATACCTCACACTAGTCATAAGCCTATTAATTTTATTGCACCCTTGACCCCTAATAATTTGCCTGCTTTCCGTATGCCTACTAATCCAGCGCCCATACCAAAGCCGTTCACTTTCAACCCTATGGTGCCACGAGCGTTACCACCGCCACCAACGTATAATAATTTTAGATTTCCCATGAACCAACCACGGATGCCGTCGCGTACCCAGCAAATGTTTTCTGCACCACCACCAAATTATAACACTCAGAACCAAGGTTTTAGAATGCCGTTCAGAAATCAGCCACCACCGTCTCAAGGCCCTAAGCCAATGAGTGGTGTTAGTCATTTTGTAACCAAACCATTACCACCTAGCGGTTGGAATTGGATGAAACAGGGTAATCCTCCTCCTACTAACTATTTTAAAATGCGTGACGTTAATGTTAATGACTTCTCAACTTACGATGATTTCCATGACTACTACAACTACTATGACTATGAACCTAATTACTACGGTGACGACACTAATGATTATAACAATTACTATGACTATCCCTGTGACTATAATGAACAGACACAGACGACTGAAGACCTTGACGCCAAATCTGTTGAGGAACCACGACCCTCAACTAGTCAGGATTTTCAGAGAGCCAGTACGTCAAAAAGCTCAAGATAGAAGTTAACTTGCAAACGCAAAGACAGCTTCCGTATATTAGTATTTCAAACCCACCTCTGAACCTTCTAATAGACACGGGTGCAAACCAGTCGTTTATAAGTCCAGAAGCTGTAGAAAGTTACTTTTCTGATATTCCTCTTGATTACGACCCATTCGAGGTGACCAATGTTCATGCAACTAGTAGAAATTATTATTCCGTAACTTTGCCGTGTTTTACAGAATTTAATAACGATGAAAAAATAAAATTATTTATATATAAATTTCATAATCACTTTGATGGTTTGATAGGTATGGATTTATTAACTAGATGGGAGGCCAAATTAGACTTAAAGAATTTACAATTGATTACCGAATCAGCTGTTAATCCCATACATATGTACAATTCCCGTAATCTAAATCTTTACGAAGAAATTATCCCGGCTGAAAGTTCTAAATTGATTAGATTACCAATTAACGCCCCGGATGGCGATGTAATAGTAGATGAACAAACATTTTGCAATTGTATTATAGTGAACTGCCTAACTACTGTAGAGAACAGCCGCGGTATAGTTGAGGTAATGAACCCGACTAAAAACGATATAATTTTATCTTTAGATCAAGCTACGCAAGCATCTGTATTCAATGTTGATTGCACAACCTCCGAACATATTACAAATCGCGTTGAAAATGTTATCTCACGGTTGCGCACAGATCATCTCAATGAGGAGGAAAAACAAAATTTATTAACATTATGTTCAAAGTATTCAGATGTCTTCTACTTAGAAGGCGAAGCCCTTACATTCACTAATCAGATAAAGCACAGTATCAAAACCACAGATGAAATTCCAGTTTATACAAAAAGCTATAGATACCCTTTTATCCACCGCGATGAAGTTAAATGTCAAATAGAAAAGATGCTCGAGCAAGGAATAATAAGACCATCGGAATCTGCTTGGAGCTCTCCTATTTGGGTTGTCCCAAAAAAGGCTGATGCCTCCGGAAAACAGAAATGGCGCTTGGTCGTCGACTTTAGGAAACTTAACGAAAAGACGATAGACGACAAGTACCCTATTCCCAACATCTCCGACGTCCTTGACAAATTAGGCAAGTGTCAGTACTTCACCACACTTGACCCTGCATCCGGTTTCTACCAGGTGGAGATGAATCCCCCCGACATTCCTAAAACAGCTTTTAATGTCGAACACGGACACTTCGAATTTTTAAGGATGCCAATGGGACTTAAAAATTCACCCTCAACATTCCAACGTGTCATGGACAATGTGTTAAAAGGGCTTCAGAACGTCATCTGTCTAGTTTATCTTGATGACATCATCGTTTTTAGCACATCCTTACAAGAACACATGACAAATCTTGAAAAAGTATTTCAGAGGCTGCGAGAGTCTAATTTCAAAATTCAGTTAGATAAGTCAGAATTCCTCAAATTAGAGACCGCCTATCTTGGTCATGTCATCAGCAGCGAAGGAATCAAACCTAACCCTGAAAAGATAAAGGCTATTCAGAAATACCCTATACCAAAAACCCCAAAAGAAATCAAACAATTCCTTGGACTTCTCGGTTACTACCGAAAATTCATTCCCGACTACGCCCGCATCACAAAGCCCCTGACAGTATGTCTAAAGAAAGGAAAAAAGATTACTTTTGACCCCGAGTACGTTAATAGTTTTGAGAAATGCAAAACCCTTTTGACCAATGACCCAATACTGAGATATCCAGACTTTGGTAAAGACTTCATATTGACTACGGATGCATCGAATTTTGCCATTGGTGCTATCCTTTCACAAGGAACAATAGGATCTGACAAGCCGGTCGCGTACGCTTCACGTACACTTAATGAGAGCGAATGCAATTATAGTACGATAGAAAAAGAACTTCTTGCTATCGTATGGGCAACGAAATATTTTCGGCCCTACCTTTTCGGCCGAAAGTTTGTAATAGTGACTGATCATAAACCGCTTCAGTGGATAATGAGTCTTAAAGAGCCTAACTCAAGACTTACGAGATGGCGTTTGAAGCTGAGCGAATATGACTTTTCAGTTATGTATAAAAAGGGTAAAAATAACACTAACGCCGATGCCCTGTCCCGCATAGAGATTTATAATGAAGACACAAGTTCCATCATAGCTAATGCTTCCGAAAGACCACCAACTATTGACAACTCTGACACTTTGACTGCCCATACAGCTAACGAAGATCCTATACTTGATATACCTATAACTGACGAACCTCTGAATAAATTCCACAGACAGCTGTGTTTAACAATTGTAGGTGACTTGAAAAAACGGACTACTGTGACTAAGCCATTTGACACGCATACTAGGACATCCGTACAGTTATCCGATTCGAACTTAGAGGAGGACACAATTAACGCTATTAAGGAATATGTTAACCCTAAAATCAAGACTGCTTTATTAATAACCCCTCCACTCGCAATGTATAAAATAATACCCATAATACAGGATAAATTCAAGAGCTCATCCATGAGCTTAGTTTTAACTAAGAAGGAGGTCGAAAATGTTAAAGAATATCTGCGACAACAAGACATTATTCGACATTATCACGAGGGTAAAACTAACCATCGTGGTATAAGCGAATGTCAATTATCTCTAACAGAAAAAATCTATTGGCCTAAAATCAAGGACGATATAACAAAATTCATAAATAATTGTACTATATGTGGGCAGGCTAAATATGACCGGAACCCCATTCGACCTAAATTTAATCTTGTACCACCCGCTACAAAACCATTCGAAATAATTCATATGGATCTTTTCACAGCTCAAAACGAGAAATATGTTACACTTATTGATGTATTTTCTAAATACGGACAAGCGTACTTACTTAGGGACGGAACCGCTCTTAGTGTAATACAAGCTTTACTAACTTATAGCACGCACCACGGCTTACCACTCACCATTGTCACAGATCAAGGCACTGAATTTAATAACCAAATGTTCTCCGAATTCTGTAAAATACACAAGATTGTTCATCATCAAACTTTAGCACATTCACCAAATGCAAATGGAAATATAGAACGATTCCACTCCACGTTACTAGAACACCTCAGAATTTTAAGACTAGAACAAAAGGACCAACCCGTTATTAACCTCATGCCATATGCTTTGATTGCCTATAACAGTTCTGTACACACTTTCACAAAGTGCAGACCCTATGACCTTATATTAGGACATACAGACCCACGAGACCCAACTGACATTAATCTTACCGAACGCCTTTTACAACAGTATACATTAGCACATAGAGAGCAGATGAAACGCGTCTACGAAATAATAAATGAGAATTCACTCGCTACTAGGACAAATATTATAGAGAATCGTAACAGAACCCGGGAATCTGAGGTAGAATATCAACCCGAACAACAGATATTTGTTAGCAATCCCGCCGCTAGTCGTTCTAAACTTGCACCTAGGTATACGCAAGACTCTGTTCTAGCAGACTTGCCAATACATATCTACACGTCCAAGAAAAAGGGACCTGTAGCAAAAGCTAGACTAAAGAGGCTTCCTAAATCAGCAAAATTGTTACAGGATGCTGTTAACATTAATCCTCAGCCTGTCCCAGGCTCAGGAGATAAAACTGGAGCGGCTTGAAGACGGACCAGGATTTCTACCCTTTAGATTAGGACCCATGGTTTTGACTACTCATTACCATACTTTTCTTCAATACGTAGAACTTAGTGATATTGAAGAAAATTTGAACTTAGTTTATAAGCAATTAGTAGAAATTAAGAATAGATTAGACAACTATACCTATACACTTTACGAATTCCAAATTGATCATCTCACTAATAAATTAGACAAAGCATCGTTTCAATTAAAAAGTTTAGAGCCAAATCGATCGAAGAGAGGCCTCATAGATGGTTTAGGTTCCGTTATTAAGAGCATTACCGGGAACTTAGATCACACGGATGCTGTAAAATATGAAGATGCTCTAAAAATTCTTAAGACGAATCAAGATAGAGTTATAATTGCACAAAATCATCATATCAGTCTTAGCAAAGATTGGATGAATGAGCACACTGAAATAATAAATAAAATTGTAAGGAACCAAATTCAAGTTAACGAAACCCTAAATATCTTAATTGATGCAGAAATGCATACGCAATATACACTTTTAAAATTTGCAAAATTCGCACAAGCATTAGGTATAATTAGCGATAACGTAGATAGCTTAGTAAGTGAATTACTTAGAATTGAGAACGCGTTAGCATTCTGTCGTGCATCAAGCATGCATCATTCTATGTTAAGTTTAGGTATAGTAAATAGTATGATAAGCAAACTTAGAAGCATTTATAATAAGAACCAGCTATTAGAACTAGATACCCGAGATTTTTACGATATTATAAAACCAGGCTCTTATTATAATGGTTATCAAATAGTTTTCGCCTTTAGAGTACCAGTAGTATCTTCGTCCACTTATACTTTATACAAACTCGCGATAGTACCAAATAAAAACAGGGAAATTGTCCTACCTACCTACCCATTCCTAGCAATCACTAGAGATAATCACGTGTACATAGAGGCTGAATGCCCGAAGCTGAGCGGCAAATACATCTGTGAAGAAAACATAAATCTGCAGCTGAAGTCAGAACCGGAGTGCATCTGTAACATCATCAAGGATCACACCGTAATAGACTCCTGTGAGAAGATCAACGTCAACTTGAAGAAGCCTGTTATGGAAAAACTTGATGACAGCCACTATACCATCGTCCTACCGGAACCAACTCAAGTACAGCTTATATGCGAATGTGAGGAACATAACACACTAGCCGGCAGTTTCCTAGTTACAATTCCGAACCACTGTATGTTACGAACAGAAGAATTCACCATAGCTAACGTGAACAACCAGATAAAAGGGCAACCAATGAAGATAACTAACATTTCAATCAAGTACAACGAACCCGCGCCCCGGCGTCTCAACATTAACACAATCAGTCTGACGAAGTTGCATCACCTGCAAGATGACATTAACCAACAAGATCCTGTACAAGGAGAGCAGCAATCAATTATCTATCATACAACGATCCCCATCTACAGTGTTCTAATCTGCCTTATCTCCATTACTGCCATCATCCTATTACGCCGAAGACTACTGAGAGCAACGCCGGAGCCAACTTCAAATGAGCAACACACTTATGAAGACGCTGAATCCTCCCAGCATCCAAAGAAGATACCAGCAACATTTTCTCTTAACATTCTAAAATAGTTGCTGATCTAAGGGGGGAGGTGTTACACCGCGCGCCTCTATGCAGATCGCTGACACGAAGTTCATAGACGTCATTTCCACGCGATCGACCTGATTTTCGCAACAACTACGGAATCGCTGAGGCTGCAACATGCGAGTGCCTCGTGCAAGCCGCTGCTGGCCTACGTGACTACGTGAAACCGACACTTCGTATCTAGCATCGATCAAGTCAATTCGTTTCCTTAAAATAATTATAATTTTATATTTTTCTTGTAACATTAAATAAGTTATAATAAATTTAGTTTTTTTTGAGTAATCCGGCTGTGGCGATTATAACTCGAGGGAGAACTGTACTTCGAGGCCCCATTAAATCCATCACAACAGGGATAAAAACAGTTTGCGACTGTTCAGGAACCAGGAGGGAACCTCTCCCTTAAAGAAGACCACAGTAAAATTATACTACCTTTTGGTGGTAATGTTTCTGTATGCATATTTCATTATACTACAGCCCCATGGACAGTGCAACAAAAAATGAACTTTGCTGTACAGTATTGCGCTGATGATTGCACCCAACTCTGTTGGTGGTTAACACAAACAAACTTTCTAATAGTGGATACAATAGTTCAAATACAAATACATAATAAATAACACATATTAAACTATTTAACATTTAATATATCACTATACAAGCTACTATTGACAATAAAAAGAATTTAATCAGGTGAAGGTCCAGTTTTAGTTTTCCTATTAAGTTTCCTATATAGGTAACCCATTCTTTTCTCAAGCTCCTTCCACTTAGTTGGTCTGGTTTGAGGAGAACCAGTCTTGGCCCACATTTTCTTTTTTCTGAGAAGCACCTGAAATAGAATAAATGGAATACCTTAGGTATATACATTTATTTTTCGTACCAATATTCAATCAATATTTTTAGGATCTTAGCCTAGGACACTAAACCTAGTATAATAAGACTCCCAGATAGTATATATACATACATATATATGTCATTAATAGAACACAAAATGAAGATATTGCAATGCAAAAAACCTGGAACTGTTATTAAAAAATAAATTTTAATAACCAATAAAAATATGGTTTCTAGTATAATAGGACTCCCAGGTTCGGTTTGTTCCTTGAAACAGGGGAGTGCTGCAAGCCCTCATAACTGGCCTTATCAGTGACATGAGAATGGCCCCCAAAATTGAGATATCTAGTATGATTGACCTCCTGAGAAAACAATAATCATCTGAAAAATCATCAATCTCTGTTTATGATAAACACTTGCTGCATTTTCCATACACTGGATAAAGTAGTTGCTAAAGCATCACCCTCATCAACACAGTTGAATTTGATGATTCAATACAATTTTGTAGCCAATAACCTCTACTGGCCTATTCGCCAACTTTTTTGACAATTATTGTGTGTAACTAAATTGAATGAAAATTGTGTATCCACCAATGCTTTTCAGAATGAGACGACGTACAGAAATGCAAATTCATCGAAAAATTAATTATCAGTAGTGATAATAGATGGCTCTGATTTATTTCTGCTTCTACAGTTTCAAAAACCTGTCACTATGTGATCTTTCAGATGAGCATTGTTTTTTTTTCAAGTGGTCAATCATACTAGATACCTCATTTTTAGCAGCCTTTCTCATGTTGCTGCCACTGATAAGACAAGTATGCATCCAATCACTACACATGTGCATCTAAAGCTTGGGGTTATCACACTTAGCGACTGGCCACCCACTCCTATCTCATATCATTGGTGCTATTATCTTACTGTCTTAACTACAGAACTACAATGTAACATGGTTGGTGCCATGCACAAAGCTTACATGGTATTCCTCGCCACTGACTCCTCTAATCCATGAAGGAACTGTGTACAATGTCTTTACAGGATGAAGAGCTCCTGTTCCCAGAATGTCAATGTAGTCATTTTGTCCAAATAATGCTCTACGTTCAGTCCAAACATTGGCAGGCCTAAAATTATTGTGCAAAAGCTAAGTATTAATTAATAATAAAATGTCTTATGTTTAGATCTCTCAGAGTATCATAGGAAATCATATATATTTTTTTACAAAACAAAATGAAATACCAATTTTATTGACAATATTTACTTGCAGCACTCAGAGACGTTGATTAACATTAGCGACAGACAGACTTTAATTTGCAAAGCATTAAAATTTAATTAGGTATCGTGAGTTGTTGCAATATTTTTATCAATAGGGTTTCATTATTTTAGATTTTCTGTATTATTTTTACTCTTCATGCCCTATTTTTTACTCCTAATAATTAAATAATATTTAAGTAAATATACCTGTATTCTGGGATGGGAAGCTTTCTAGCTCCTATTCTTGGCATCAAACCACCACGCCATAATAATTCTCTATAACCATATCTTCTTACTAGTCGAGTTTTGTCAGCGTGAAAACGAGTCCTATAAAGAATTCAATTAATAATAAAGAATAATAATTAAACTTAAATTTAAACATTTGAATTATTTTGAAACAACCTAACAGAGTTGATAGTAGGTTTCCATAATGTTTTAAGAATGGTGGAGCCAAGCCACTCCATGAGAAAGTCTGCAAGTTTACTTGTTAGCAATGATATCACACTATTTGTTTTAGCATTGAGTAGAGTAGTTAATTCCCGTAAATTAGATTTCGTTTTACATAAATTTCAAGGGTTGTTTAGGCCAGGGCTGCGACCAAAGAGTAGTATAATATACGCTGCGACTAGGGATGTTCGATATCGATTCAATTATTCTATTAATCGTTTGTAAAATTTTGAGCATTAATCGATTAATCTATAAATTAAAATAATCGATGTAATCGACTATTTTACATCGATTAATCGATTCGCAATGACCTTCATTATGGTCTTGTCAGTTCATACATTAACAATGCCTAAACATGAAACACGTCTCAAAAATCATCTTAACAAGCTTCGACAGCCGACAGCTTTGTCCATACAATATCCACTGTTACTTTAGTCTTTAAAACTATCTCTGTCTATATGTATAATAAATAATATATAACGTTTATGCAGTTGAAGCTACGTATGTTTCTTCTAGATGTCAAACTGGAACAAAATGTTCATGGTGGCAAAAGACCATAGTCATTAGTCATTTATTCCATAAAAACAATATTACATTCTGTCGGAAATTATGTTAAGTACCTACATAGAAATAAATCCCAAAAACAAAACCCTTATATAGCCTGGGATACTATTAAAAACCAATATCCAAATATTTATAAAGAGGCAATCGGACATTTATCAATCATTTCCACGTCTGTGTTCTCTGATAGCCTATTTTCAGAAGCTGGGCAAATCGCCACCGACATGAGAAACAGATTAACAGATTCTCATCATGTTAATTTTTCTGTCATCCATAGATGAATCTCAATGGAAATGTTAGTGATTAAATAAACATTCTTATTTTAAAATTGTAATTCTTTTATTTGTAATTAATGTCTATGTATTTTTTTTGTATTTCGGCGGAACATTTATTTTTTTACAAAGTCTGGAATATTTCTTCGATTAATCGATATCATAAGTGCAATTAATCGATTAATTGTAATCGACACTGTAGAAATAATCGATTATCGAATGATCGATTACTTTGCTATCGATTATCATCCCTAACTGCGACTGCGGGTGCGTTCTATTCTTTATAGTACGCTAGTGACTGGAGCCAATAGTGAGGTGGGTTACACACGATCAGTTGGCATCAGTTCACTTCAGTTCATCAGTAAGCCAGATTGATCGTGTAATGCGTCAATATTGAAACGTCAAAAGGTCATTGCGTCAGGTAAAGCCGAAAATATATTTATCCCTCGAGTTTTGTAGTGAAATGTCAGAGAGCTATCGATCGATTTCATACATTTAGTACCGTTAGAGCTTTGCGTACGTTTCTCAGATGGGGTTAGAGTGAGTACTGCTGCCAGGATATTCGGAGGGTATTTGTAATGCTACCTATTATTTAAGTAGATCAATTATCGTGATACTAGGATCTCTGAAGAAGAAGCTCTGAATATTTTATTTGAGCTAACAACTCCACAGATAGCTAACTTTGCGAGCTGCCATTTCCTTTAAGACCAACATGTCGTATGACAGCGACACGACACGCTCTACAAATAAGTCTCTAACCATCGTAAAAACCGATGTGTTTCTGGCGCGTCACGACACGATACGTTAATATGTTTCTGCCTTTAGACCTTATGATCATCCTATTAAAAAAGGATAATAATGGCCTCCGTTCTAGATACTCACTCGTCTTGTTTTATCGGCTGTACACAGTCATTTATATCTAGTTCTAGTTAGGCATGGGTCCGATATATCAAAACGAATCCAAAATCCGATTTCAAACACAAATCGATACCGAACGATTTCTCAACAAGAAAATCCGATTTCAGAAATCTAACCGAACCAAAACGCTAGCGATCTAATACCACCACAAGTATCCAAATGTAAATCGGATTCGAAATTCGTGCTTTCGTTTTCGGAAGTCTGATTTCGGTTTGCTGTTTACGGAAATCTATTGTTCTTCTCTAAGGCGGGATTATTTATTACTGAAAAAGATGTCGTCTATAAACATCAAAAGTCGAGCAACTGATATTTTTTTGAACGCTAACCTGAAGTAATTAGGTTTGATTTTGTAAATGGTTTGAAAAATAATAAAAACAAACAGAAAAACAAAAAAAATACTAAAAAAATATGTAAAAAGAAATCTTTGTATATAAGCCGATTTTTAAATGCGCCGCAAAAGTTTTACTTTTAACCGTAAAGATAACTTTTCTGCTAGTTCTAAGCCACAGAATATATACTCTTGCCTAAGCCTAGATTTAAAGCATAAAGGAAAATCGCGCAAATCTACGAGTATCCTTGCTACGTACAATTAATTGTTTATGATTGTCGTTAGCTAATAAAACCAAATCATAACACAAACTAGTGAATTGGCTAAGTTCGGCACATCTGAAATCGGATATCTAAAAACGGATTTTAAAATCGATTTTGAAATCGGAAATCCGATAAATATCCGTTTGCGTTCAAAACCAAAAACGCCCATGTCTAGTTCTAGTCTATCCTTATTATTATTTAAAGAACTTTGAGGATATAATGGTGTCGATTCTAGCAGGATTCTCTAAACTTAAAACTAAATTTGACATCAGTCTGTCCTTTTCAGTCTGTATAGAGAATGACAGAGATACACTGTTGTCAAATTTAATTTTAGCTTTAGAGAATCATGCCAGAATCGATACCAATAATGAATTTACTTATTTATAGCTTTAGGTATAAAGAGGTGTCGATTCTGGCGTGATTCTCTAAACTTAAAACTAAATTTAACATCAGTCTCTCCTTTTCATTCTGTATAGAGAATGATAGGGATGCACTGTTGTCAAATTTAAGTTTACCTTTAGAGAATCATGCCAGAATCGTCATCAGAGTCATTTTAGAATCAGACTCAATAGGATGATTCTAGAATGATTTTTATCCCTAAAAAGACGGTCCTATGATATCAAATCAGTTGATTTTACACTTTTATAGTTTACATAATAAAAGTAATACGCGTTTAACTTGAATTTTTTAATTTATAATAAATCCGAATAAATAAACATGGATTTAAATATTAAATAGGCTGTATAAAATTCCCTTGCTTTTCTTACGGACAAAACGCCAAAAAAACAAGAAATTACCACTTTCAAACAAAATGGCCGTCGTTTTCTAAAACACAGTTTTCTAGTATTTTTTTATGGAAAACTCATAAATAGTATGTATGAAAACTTTGTTAAATATGATCAAATTGATAATGAATTCGCTATATACAATTTTAACTTTTGTAATTATGTTAAATTAGTGCAACATGAATATTTTTTGTAATAAAGACAATCGCACTCACTTTGTTTGTTTAGGCAAATAGTAAATAAATAACTATCTTCAAAGTGCGTTTTTTACTTTAGCAACTAGTACTTTGCTATCATGTTTATTAATAAATACCTGAGCGAGTCAATATTGCAATTTCAAAGGTCTAAATGCGTTATTGCGTTTGTTTACATAATTCTCTGATTACTAATAATCAGATTACAACTATAATCCTAATAAAATGTTTTTCAGGAAATATCTTTTAAATCATGTCGAAAAGAGATCAGGGTGACAGAAAATTAGAAACCAATGATTATGAAAACTTGCTCACACAACATAATATTTTCGAGACCACAAGGACTAAACACCAAGAACTACCCAGTTTTCCTGGATTTTCCAATGCTGAAACCCAAACAAAGCCTGCTGACATAAAAACTGAATCACCACAGCCAGGAATTGGCACTTGGCATTACAATCCCTGGTGGATGCTTGCCAGTACTTCAAGAAACCTTCCAACTCAAGATGAATTCTCTGAAAGTAATGATCAAACAAAAGTTAAAAAAGAGCCATCTGGGCAACCTGGAACTCCTGATCATGATCCTTTACAAACAGATGTAGAACAATACCAATCAGTCAGAACTCCACCACCTGCAGGTCTGGATTCTTTTTGTGACGATTGTTCTGATCCCTTTTGCGACTCTAGTGCTGCTATGTGTCGAAAACTTTTTCATTGCCCCCATTGTAGGAAAAGTTATCCAACTATTTTAGAGTTTAATGCACATTTAACTCAAGTTCATGCAGCTCAAAAACCCTTCAGATGTCAAATTTGCCTGGAACCATTTCATAAGAAGTCATTTCTGCGCCGGCACCTTGAAGCCAGTCATACACGTAAGGATGTAAATAAGTGCTCAGTTTGTTCTAAATACATAAAAGATAAAAGTAATCTCCGCAAGCATATGCAAGTTCATACAGGCAGAGTGCCTCAAAAACAGTTCAAATGTGACCTATGCAACAATAAACGCTATATGTCACTTGACAGACTTAACAATCATAGGGTAGTGTGCACTGGAGAAAAGGTACTGAAATATTGTGACATGTGCCCTAAAGTATTTGATAACTCTAGATCATTGAACAGTCACAGGAAAGTCCATGCTCGTGAACTAAAATGTGACAACTGTGGTGAACAGCTACGTTCATTAGAACAATTTACAAACCATAAACTTATTTGCCAAGGTACATCTACAGATGCTAGTGGAAGCCAGAGTGGTTCCACAAGTGGTGCCGCTTTAAACCGCTGCTGTACACAGCCAGGGATATGTGAACATGACAAACCAGCTTACTTGAACATACCAGGCTATGCAGCTGGTAGAGTTCTTGAGGCTACACTTTCATCTTTAAAATCAGAGCTGAATTGATGACAATTGCTACAGTATCATATCTGTCACAAAAGAACTATTTTTATTAACAATAAATTTCATTCATCAAGATTACCAAATAGTTAAAAACAGTAATAATTTTCACAATTGAGAATTTCACAAGACTGATGCAAATATCCCGCCTCACGACTTGCTTTATTATTACCATTTAAAGTTAGATTTTACTTGTAAGTAACATTATAGATTAAGCATTATTACTATTTGAACATATTAAAGCTTGGCCCTATTTTGATTTCATTTCATATATTTGCAATGTTATCAGCTTACCCACCGAGAGTAAATGCATAAAATCTGTCTTTCCCAAGTGAATTTGAAAATTTGCAGTACTATGTGTTCAAATGGTATGTTTTATACTTTACTTTGGTAAAATAAGTTTGTTACGATAAATCATTAAGATGCTTTCTATTTATAAGATTGATTTCCCTCTAGCTTTAGCACACTTTCTTTTTAGAACATGCTATAAAGACTTAAAACTGTATGAGAGTGTAAGTATGATATACTTCAATGTTGTGAACTTGGTTAAAAATAATTTATTACAATAGTAATGTTTCATCTATACAGACCCATGAACAAGAGTAACTACTTAGTTACTGAAAACAATACACAAAAACTTAGTGTGCATAAGCTATAAAGTAAACAATTCAAATTGTGTTACATCCATGTCCCTATATTATGGCATGACACATGTTGCATATTGTCTTTGTAAAATGTGTCTTGACTGATTTAGAGTAATATTTATGTGCAGTATTACAACATTTTTTATTTTTCTATTATGCAAAAGAGCTATGTTATTTTTATAATTTTTACTTAGTAATGTTATAGGTTACTTAATTTAATGTTTTTATATTACCCAATGTTTATTTGTAAGAGGTCAGTGGAGATTGTACATGAAGCATACAATATGATGTAATGCTCGGAGCATGTACTTTTCACTCCAAAGACATGATAATTAATATAAGTTATTAGATTACTGTTAAAAATATTTGATTGTACTTTCTAAAACAATTAATGGATTGGACCTTGAGTTTTTTTGCATAATTGTGAATCTATATGAATAAGGGAATTAAAAGTGCAATGAATCATTGGCTAAGCCTTCGTGTTGTGGTTATGGGAAATGTTTGTTATGTTCTCTTGACCCATATATTTATTCATAAAGTGTTATACACTAATAAAGGATAATTGCTGCAATTTAAATAACTATAAAAATATATTATTTTATTCATTAATATCATATTAAAAATATAAATATTCTTAGAAACTCCTTATATTTAGAACATAAGGGTTGAGGCTATATATTGTATGTTAAAAAGCCTTCCTAAATATCAGTTATATTTTCTCGAAAGTTTTATCTTGACTTTAATTTCTTATTTATTTCATTTCATGTAGTATTAAATTGTATAATTTTAATCCTGAGGCTTTATTCATAACCAATAGTTGTTACTATTTACATTTGTTTTGGACACTTACAAGCCTGTGTAATTGTAAATGTAATAATATATATTACATTAGTTTTTATTTTTTTAGTTGTCATTAATAGAGAAAATGTTTGATTTTAACAAATCACATTCTAAAAGAATGTCTTAAGTACTGCTTTATGGGTTTAAAAAATGCCCAAACAACATCACGTGATTAATGGACGGCCCCTAACAACAAAACAATAAGCTTGTTCTGTGGTCTAACATTAACTGCACCTTGCTAGTTCATTTACTGCAACTTTTTTACTGAGTTGGAAATATCCCAAGGATCCATGGTATGGATATGACAATATAAATAAGCAATTCAGAATTAACATTAGCCATGCAAACTATTTTTTTTTCCAAGTTTTTCTTAAGTGCAGTTAGGTACAATCGAGTTTATAAATATATTGGCAGATCCAGTTTTTCAAATTAAATGTAAATATCATAAAGTTCTTAAATCATTTGACTTCAAAATATGTTTTTAAGTATATGGCCTAAAAATATATATGTAATGGTAGTCAACAGATCTTCTGAACAAAAATATGTAACTACTTATAATGTTACGATATTTAGACCTAACTCAGGCGGACAGCTTTCCCACGTCTCAATGTTGAGGGTTGTCCTAATACAACGCGACCATCGCGCTAAAGAGCGATGCGACTATCATACGAGTCGACGATTAAACATATTGATCTGTAATATGTCCTAACAGGCGATAAGCGATGCATTCGCGCTACTAAAATGTTTTTAAATCTATTAGCGCGAACTTAGTACATGCGAACGCGGTTTTAAACCTATTAATGATGAATAGGTGTCCTAAGTGAGGTTCGTGCGATGATCGCGTTGCGTCGATGTATTTCGAACAAAGCACTTTATGTTCAAAGACTTCTCTTTTTTTCGCTGTCGAGTGTCCGCTAAATATGCTTGTCCATACATTTTCCAAAAGTAAAAAATTTACCATTTCGACGTCCATGGTTAGAGCTGATGCAAGGCAAACTGTATCGAGCGGACAGAAATTGTGCTCGCGTATTCGCGTTCTATCTAGGACACCCAGTTTTTACTATCTATGATAGTTTCAGCATTGTTTAATCGCGTTGTATTAGGACAATGAAGGACGGTCGCACGAATCGACTGCAGAAAAGCCGTCGGTTTCGCCTGCTAGTAACGACAAAAAAATAGTATCACAGGAAGTGGAAGCGCTGTTGTGTGTGGCTATCGTTACAACGTCGTCGTCAGCGCCGAAGATATCGACGTCAAGGAATAGACTGGGTTCACTCGATTAAAGAAAACAGAAATTAAGTGTCAAATTAATCCTTTACATTGAATGTCTTTACCTTATTTATCTAAATAAATTACTGTCTCTACCGGTAAAATGTAATACAAACGGGACGTGTGCCCCAATATTTTGTCGTTTCTAGAAGTCCACTGCGTGTTGGATGCATTGCGTGCGACAGCTGCCCACGGCTACTTTGTAGGTGATATTGCCGACACGCTGCGTCTGTTGTTGGCAGACGTTGCGAGAAGTCGTCCGTATGAGTTACTTGTTGCGTTTCTATACAAATCCGTGTCTTACGACTGCCGGACGGCTAAACAGCCGTTACGCAGATGCCGGAAAGTTGTCCGCCTGAGTTAGGTCGTAGATTTATGACCTGTTGTCATAAGATTTTTTTTGCTTGCCGATGTGCAAGTGCAAATATTGCGTTAACATATATATGCGTCTAGTTTATTTGACTAGTTTCGGTTTTAGAAAATCTAAAGATAAATACAAACTAAAAAACGTTTACTTACTTATAATCAAATGAGGGTTATTATTATACTATAATGTAATATAAAACCTTCTTTTATTAAATCTGTTTCGAATTTTATGAAATTCAACATTCCTTTGATATATTTTTGATGTTTGGGTCTGCTTATATTATAAAAAACCGCTGTACTGTAACTAAAAAAACATTAACTTAATTAAAATCAAATGAGGGTTTTTATTATAATAATGTAATATTAAATCTGTTTCGAATTTTATGAAATTCAACATTTCCTTTGATATATTTTTTTTTGATGTTTGGGTATATATACTTATCGTAATCTCATGCAATTTATATGTAATCAGTTTCTACCATCATTCATTAATTCAAGATTGAACTCAAGCAATTACGTGCATTCATCGCCTAAATGTTGTTAACGCGAACTTTCATAAAACTGGTGTCTTACTTTGCCTACACTCAAACTGGCCACACTGGCGCAGAGTCGAAGCGTTGTTTCGCGTCCTGAGACCCAAACACGAATTTTGATTCCTCTGTTATCGTATCGTTATCGTCAAATTTTGTATGGAAAAAGCTAGTTTGTGGTTACGTCCGATAGAGGCTGATAGGCGCTGCTTAGTTTTTATAGAAACTTGATGATGTGATACGAAACTCGTACTTGGGCAGAGGCCAAATGGAAAAAACACAGAGGTTTTTCAAGTAACAACGCGTGGCGATGCCCGAATCTATATTTACATAACATAAATTAGTACCTTATTCTTGCGAAAATAGAGATGAATGTTATACACGCGAAAAACATGACGCGTCGCGTCGCTTCTCCCCTGCACCAGTGTAATTTGTTTTGACATGGGATAATTGTGTGATTTATGTATTATTACGTGCGGCACTGAAAAATCCTCATAAAACAAAAAAAACAGCTCTCCTAAAGCATACCTACACTTTAGAGGCTTAAGCACGAATTTTTGACAGCTCTCTAAAGTATCGCTTCGTCAAAGTTTCTGTGAAAACTAATCAGCGCCCCTATCGGAATAAGAACGAACTAGCTTTTCCAATACCAAATTTGACGATACGTTACAGAGCTGTCAAATTTCGTGCTTAGGTCTCAGTACCCTTAGCACGTACCAATATCGAATGCGAATAGTTTGCGAGTATGAAATGTCAATGTCTAATTTTTTATGGAAACTTGAACAGCAGCGTCATACCGGCCGTAACGAGAACTAAAAATCAGTACACATTTGACGTTTAACTAGATTGAATTCGATAATGACTCGTGCTAAGGGTACTGAACTAGCTACCTTATACGATTTATGGCGTGCTCTAACTAGTTTATATACATTTTAGCAATAAATACAAGATAAACTGGAAAGACATCATTAATAAGCCCTAGATGATTTGAACAACGTTTTGTTAGATACCCGAGAGTATCTGTAATAATTATGAAAAAGAAAACCCTTTTTGTTTTATAAAAGTGTAATGGGCACTCCTTCCAATAATGGCGAAAATTATCTCTAGTTATTATTATGGTACGGTGTGTAATTTAAAGTGCACCTAGGTATAAGAAAAAATGTGTTCATATGAATTTAGTTAATAGATAATAGTTTATCTATTAGATTAGACTGTGAGACAGTTTGTGTAATTTTCGTTACGATTTATCTTCCTATTTTTGACAGAATCTTCCAATTTTTTTATTATTTCGAAGCGCCAAGTTTTGCTGTAATGTTGACAAGTTTGTGGCCTATGCACATCTTGCATAGACCACCTCTAAATTTTATGTCTAAAATTGAATACACATTTTTT